TGATTTCCGACAGGGATGTACGGTTCACTTCCAGGTTTTGGAAGAAGTTTCATGACGAGCTGGGTACTCGCCTGCATTTCAGCACCGCTTTTCACCCGCAGACGGATGGTCAGAGCGAGCGGACCATCCAGACGCTAGAGGATATGCTGCGGGCATGTGTTTTAGACTTCGGAGGTAGCTGGGATACCTACCTTCCGTTGGCGGAGTTCTCATATAATAATAGCTATCATACGAGTATCGATCGACCTCCCTTCGAGATGTTGTACGGGAGGAAGTGCAGGACCCCGATATGCTGGGGCGAGGTTGGCCAGGGGTCATGGGGAGCACCGATGTAGTGCTCAAGACGACCGAATGGATCCAGCAGGTCAGGAGCAGGCTTCAGACTGCTCAGAGCGGCAGAAAAGTTATGCCGACAAGCGCCGATCGGACCTGGAGTTTCAGGTCGGGGATATGGTTCTCCTGAAGGTGTCGCCATGGAAGGGCGTCATCCGATTCAGGAAGCGGGGCAAGTTGGGTCCCAGGTATATTGGACCCTTCAGGGTTATAGCCCGGGTGGGCAAGGTGGCTTATAGGTTGGATCTGCCAGCCGAACTCAGCAGATCCACAGCACTTTCCACGTCTCTCAGCTGCGGAAGTGCCTGGTGGACGACTCAGCAGTAGTACCCTTAGAGGATATTCAGGTCGATGACAGCTGAATTACATTGAGCGACCGTGTAGCAATCCTTGACCGGAAGTCGAAGGATATGAGGAACAAGAGGGTTGAGCTGGTAAAGGTGCAATGGCAGCACCGGAAGGGCTCGGAATGGACTTGGGAGCCGGTGGATGAGATGATGGAGCATTACCCAGAGCTGTTCCAGGATCGAGCAGCAGACTTCGAGGACGAAGTCTAAAATAAGTGGGGGAGATTTGTAGCACCTGGTTCTTGGAAATATTTTTATTTAAGTATTTTTGCATTTTTGGCCTTGGACTCGGCGAGTGGAAGGACCAAACTCGCCGAGTAGAAAGCGGGATGAGGCGCGATTTAAGTGATGGACTCGTCGAGTCGGGTCCCGGACTCGCGACGAGATAGACTCTGACTGGACAAAAAACCTAATCCGAGGGTTTGCACCTTATTTAAACAATGTTATGACGGCCACAACGTCCCTTATGCTCCCAGAACACCTCTCATTGAAACCCTAGCCGTTATTGAAGCAATCTAAGCCTTGTTGGTGGATTTTGGTGCTTGTGGTCTTAAGAAGAAGGAGAAAGGCTTGAGGAAGCAAGTAAAGACCAAGGGAACCCGAGTTTGTGCACCTTCTACAGTTCATTGAAGGTAAAAAACTGTAACCTTGCTCTTTCATTTGTTAGATCCCTTTGTGGGGAGATTTAGGGCTTTTATAAGCCACTTTTGATGGGAAACCATGATTGCAAACATGGTTGGGGGTTAGAGTTCTGAATCACGTCATTAAAGGAGTCACAAGGCAGTTGGGGACTGCTTTTGCACCCATGAAGGCCCCATGCATCTTAAGAGCTTGTTTTATGTCTTTTTGAGCTCAAAGTCCCATGCAAGCACGTAAAGTTTGTAACTTTACGTGCTAGATCGATTACAGAAGCTTGGATCTATCTTTTGATCAAAGTTGTACATCAGAATTCAGGATTTAGAGTGTGGACATGACTGACTCGGCGAGTCCGTTCTTGGACTCGACGAGTCCGAGGCTTTGAGCCCCATATCTATTGAGAGTCAAAGGAACCCAGTTGAGTGTTAGAGGGTTGTTGTAATCGGACAGGAAGAGTTACCCAATGTATTGGACGTGATTTAGACCTGGAGTTCATGGGACTCGACGAGTGCTAGAACAGACTCGGCGAGTCCAAGGCAATCTTCTTAAGGATGAAGATGAACTCGATGAGTTGTTCATCAACTCGGCGAGTCGAGGACAGAACTTGTTCATCAGATGAAGGTGAACTCGACGAGTTGTTCATCAACTCGGCGAGTCGGATGAGTTTCATGCGATGTCATGTGAGGGAGGAACTCGTCGAGTTGACGGCCCAACTCGACGAGTCGGGTCATGGATAAGGATGAGTAAAAGGTGAGGGACTCGACGAGTTGACGGCCCAACTCGGCGAGTCGGGTCAACTTGAAGTTGACTTTGACTAGACTTGGACTGACCCTATTAAGGGTTGTACTGGCTGTGTGTTGACTTGAAGGTCGTCGTGTAGGGATCGAGGAGTCGAAGGGAATCGACTTGTGCGCCGAGGATAATTCAAACACTGCACGACATTGAGGTGAGTTACCTTCCAGTAGGGGTGGGTCTAAGGCCACAATGCCGGCCCACCAAAGAGGAGTATTTGTAAGATGATGTCTTGTGATAACTATCTTGGTTTGGTTATGTGCTTTGGTCACGAGTATTATCTGCATAATATGTTACGTGTATAGTATGGATTAGGATCCCTGACAGCGGCCCTTAGGGCCGTGGGGTAGGTCAGTACCCGGATATGCCTGACTGTATGATTGTACCTTGCTGTTGTATGCTAGTGGTAGGGGGTGGAATAGTCCCCAGTTACCGGTTGAAAGATACGATGATGGTTACTGAAAGATTGAAAGATACCGATGATGGTTACCGTTTTGAAAGATACCGATGATGGTTACCGGTTGAAAGATACTGATGATGGTTACCGGTTGAAAGATACCGATGACGATTACCGGTTGAAAGATACCGATGATGGTTATCGGTTGAAAGATACCGATGACGATTACCGGTTGAAAGATACTGATGTTGGTTACCGGTTGAAAGATACCGATGATGATTACCGGTTGAGAGATACCGATGATATTGTATGGTATGTGGTATGATGGGGGAACTCACTAAGCTTTGTGCTTACGGTTTTGGTTTTGGTTTCAGGTACCTCTTCGTCTAAGGGGAAGGAGTCGGCGGCGTAGCATCGCATCACACACCACAATATGATTTCCGCATGGAGTTTTCTGGGATTGTACTCTGATATGTTATTATTCTATGGCTTGGGTTTTCAGACATGATACATTGTTTTATGAGATGATGTGTTTTCACAGTATTTTCTTATGAATGTTTTTATGTGTTGGTTAATTAAAAAGAAATTTTTGGACCTGAAAATTGGGATGTTACAATATATGAATATAAGCAATTTTTATTCTATCTACTTCTTTAATATTAGATAATCTATTTCTAATTTGTTGTTTATTTATTATGGGTTATAAAATATTTCTGAGTTGATTCTATAGGGTATTGGTTTTCTCCAATAATTTCCATAATATATAATATTTTTCTAGAAAAGAAAAGAAATTTTTTATGAGTGTTTCTAAAATTATGTTTTTCTGATAGTGTAAAATTTAAAATTTGCTTTTATGCATCTTTATTAATGTTATTTTGTTAATTAAAGCATCAAAAGTGTATCAGATTCATTTTCTTCGTTATTATAATGATTGGTGAATTTTCTATTTCTTGAGACATATTTAACAGATTAGTTTTGTTATTTTATCTTCTAGATTTTTTATTTTTTCTTGTTTCCAATTTATACTATTATTTATTATATGTATTGCTTTAATATTGAATATACAATTAATTATTGATATGTTAGAATCTATTTTTAAATTTAAAAGAAATTTTTTAGATTGTTTCAATGTTTTACGAAAACAAAAACTTTAATTCTTGTTTAATAATATTTAAACTTGAAAAACTCATGATTATAATTTTTAAAATGATAATTAGCTTTTTCTTTCAATGGTACGACTAAAATCATAGATTTTAATAGGATGGTAGGGTTTTTTTAATGATATTTATAATGGTGGTTATGATGTCAAAGTTTTCATACTGAGAATTAAAAACTTTTTTACGAAATATGTTTCTAACTTGTGGTAATATGGTATGTACATAGTAATAATGTTTTAAACATTGAATTTATAACGATAAATTTATAATAATATTTTATGATGAGCCTGATGAACATATATTCATATGAACGAAAGATTTATCATATAATCATAATAAGAACGATACTTAGCTCTGATACCAAAATTAACGACATGACGGAATTAATAAAAAGATTATGATAAGATTATACCTGAATGATGCGTCGGGATGGATTGACGATGGATTGTTTAAATTATATGAATGATTATATGAATAATCTTGGGTATATTTGGATAGGGCTCTGCTATTCAGAATAGAACGACTATTTCAACAGAGGAAGAACTTTGAGATCAACTCAAGTCTTTAAAACTCCAAACTTAACTTGTTTATTTCATATGGGCAAATGCCCTATTTATAGGCTCAAGAGAGCCGGTTACATAATAGAGTTGCAATCGTTTGATTGCAATACGACATACATATTTACAATATAGCCTGGAATTTTGTATACATTAGTATAATTCGTTAGCCAGTATATATAATGTTATTGTTGACCCTTAGACCATCTCCAAACCATCTCCATTTCCTCCTCCCCCCCCCCCATAAATGAAGCAAAAAAAACATGGAAAATTAATAAGATAGTTTCATCCTAACCCTACTCCCTTCCTACCCCATTTTACCCCCTAAAAAGTATTTCCTAGAATATTTCATTTTTATAACTTATATATATTGTCAAATACACCCCTCTACTAATTAAACTCTATATTATGATAATAATATAAATTAGTATATAACATGATATTATAAATATTAAATATAGCATTTAAATTATAATTAGTGGATAAAATAAACTAGAAATGTATAAAATAAAAATGAGAGAAACTAAAATTGACAACCAAACTTTACCTTCATTTTTATAGATATGAATAATATTCCTCCGTATATGGGAGAATACTATTCATATCTTCAAAATGGAGGTAAAAATGAGGTAAAGTTGGAAAAGAATAGGAGAAGAAATGAAAGAATAAATGAAGTTTGAAGGCAGGTTGGAGATGCCTTAAAAAATACTTAAAAAAAACTGCAATTCCAAATCAAAGAACATTTAAAAATACAAAGCTTACCAAAGCCGATAGAGTTTACATAATTACAAAAAGCACCCCAAGCAAAAGTTTCACTGAAGCTCAACAAAACCCCTCGGCTGTATTACATCGGGCCGCCGCTAACAAATCACCAACTCTCGGTTATTGTCTGCAAACCCTAGTCTCTCTCTATCTCTACTAAATTATCATTCAAATTCGTTTCATAAGGCAAGTTTAATTTTCGATTTGTGAATTCATCTCATAACAATCTCGGTTGTCGTTACTTACACTGGAATTAATTCAATTCTTGAAGCTCAGCTGATAGTCATGGCAGGGACAGATGCTACGGAGAGTGGTTTATCATGTGTTAAATGTGGCAAGCCTGCTCATCTTCAGTACGTATTTATGTATTTGCGTACGATTTTGAAATTTACTTGCTTCAAGTCACGTGAATTCGTTCAATATTCTCAGAAAAAAGATGCACTTCGATTTGGATGTTAATCATATCACTTTTAAACTTCAAGAGTGTTGTTGCTGAAAAAACTGCGAGAATGATTTGATAATTGTATTACAAATTGGTCGAAGCACTACGTATATGAAATCCGTAACTACCAATTTTGCGTTAGGAAGTTTTAGGGTTTATATAAAAGGATGAAACTGTACCGAATCAATCAAGTAACATAGGAACTCATGAATTGATTGTTCCAGTTGCTTTTGCTTACATTATTCGTATGCTAACTTCATTCCCCTTTCAACTTATTTCAGGTGTCCAAAATGTGTTGAATTGAAGCTTCCACGTGAAGGCGCTGCTTTCTGGTTTGTTACTCTTGTGCCCTATTTTTATCATTAGTACTGGCCATTTACCTTACCATTTAAGTACCTCAAGTACACTTTAGTCATCATCAAACTTTATTATCACTGCAAGTTTATATAGAATTCACATGCAACATATTTTTGTGCTATGTAGTTGAAGATATGTCCATGTTAAATATTAACATAATTGTTACTCTTATCAGCACTCAAGACTGTTTCAAGGCATCATGGAGCTCTCATAAATCAGTTCATTTGAAAGCAAAGTTATCATCAGTTGGAGCAAGCAATCCATGGGAACTTAATATAGCCTCACCAAGTGATGGTTGGCTTTATTGTATTAGGAAAGGACAGTCTCGAACAGCACAAATTCCTCATTTTGATTGGACAGGGTATTGTTTTAGACAAAGCTTCATATTCTTTTTAGCACGTTTTATCTGAACTATCTTTTTCATATTTCCTAATATTTTTGCAGACCATTAAGGCCTTATCCCATATCAAAAAAACGTGTAATACCTGCAGGAATTGAGCTACCTGATTGGGCAGTTGATGTAAGTCATTAACATCATGATTCATGACTATATTTTTGTAATAAGCTTCTACTTTGTGAACATTGATGCATGCTTATATATATATATATATATATATATATATATTCTTTGATATGTTTGCAGACATTTTATATTCATTAGATGTATTTTTCTGATGATATTAACACGGTAACTTTGTAGGGAACTTCCAAAACCGAGCCTATTAGTGATCTGCAACATGTTGTTGAGGTAATCTATTGTTTCTATTCATGTTGGAGAGCTTTTTTCTTTATTTATGGTGATCTAATGGTCTTTTCAAATGCTTTTGTTTTCTGAAGATAAAAACTCCAGAGCAAATTGAGAGAATGAGAGAAACTAGCCGAGTAAGTTTATTACAAATCTTGAGCAAGTAGTAAAATCATCAGTTATAGTTCAAGAGGGTATAAGTTATTAAAATTATTTATTATTTCACAGATAGCAAGAGAAGTTTTAGATGCAGCTGCTCGTGTTGTGCGTCCTGGTGTGACTACTGATGAAATTGATGCTGTTGTCCATGAAGCAACCATTGCTGCTGGTATGTGGGTATATGTAATTCATCATTCTTTTTAAAAAAAAATGAAATGTATTCTTATTATAAATTTATAATTGAAAGTTACACTGATTAAATTTACAATTGCTCACTGCAGGAGCATATCCATCTCCATTAAATTATCATTTCTTCTTTCCAAATCTTGCTGCACGTAGGTACTTCTGTGTACTTGATTTTCCAATCCCATGTATCCTACTTTCTTTTCATTAAACATGAATCCTTGTTGTGTCCACAGGTCTGTTAATGAAGTAATCTGCCATGGGATTCCAGATGGAAGGTATCTATCTACCTTATCCTTTCTTTTTTTATAATGCTATTAATTTAGATTGTCTTTATTAAAGGGCTAAATGCAAGAAATAGCAACATACTTTAATTTATTCATGTGTTATAGCATCTTACTTTCATTTTAGAATTTTTTTTATCTTATTAAGGCGTGTACAAATCTACCCAGTTATAGCATTATACTTTCATTTTTTTTTCTTATTAGGAATCTATACCTTGAAAAAACTTTCTGATAATAGCATTTGTATTTGGATGATATTGCTATGATTGGGTAGATTTTTCAAAGTACAATACTTTAATAGAAATTAGAAAGAAATGAAAAATATGTTGCCATTTCTTGCATTTAAGCATGTTTTAAGTTCGTGTTTATTGCAGCATCCTACTTCCATGTCTTTCTATTGTGCCATTAATTCACATCATCATATTTTAAAATGCAAAAAATAGCAATGTACTTTCATTGATATGTTTGTTATAATATCCTGTTGTCATTTTTTCTTGATCACATTATTGTACTTAGAAAAATCTTCCTGATTATAGCAATGGCATCCAAATACAGAACAATATTTATTGCTATAATTAGGTAGATTTTTTCCAAATACAATGTTTCAGTAATTTAAATCTTTGATTAATTACTTCTGATCTTCATTCATGAATCATGATATAATGGGATCAATGTATCAAATTTCAAGAATTTGTAATTCCAAGTTTTAAAAAAAAAATTGTAATTTTTTGATGCAGGAAATTGGAAGATGGAGATATTGTGAATATTGATGTAACTGTTTATTATAAAGAGTCCATGGTGAGGTTCTTTATCTTATTCCATTGTTGAGAGGTTTATATGCAGTTGACAACATTGATTACATTTTTGTTTTAGGTGACCTGAATGAAACTTATTTTGTTGGTAATGTTGATGAGGCATCTCTACAGTTGGTCAAATGTACTTACGAGTGCTTGGAAAAAGCAATAGCTATCGGTAAGTATTACTCATCATTATTTTGATGGGATTCAACAGTTCCCATTCCTTCATACCAAACACTTGACTTCCTAATATCTTTTATTTATTGCTTGTTATCTTAAGTGAAACCTGGAGTACGCTTTCGTGAAATTGGGGAAATTATAAATCGACATGCTACCATGGCAGGCTTATCTGTGGTAATAATTTATACAACTTATTTATTTATATATTCCCCTCTTCTGTTTGCATTGATTCCGAAGATGTTTATTCTTTTAAATTTCAGGTGAAATCCTATTGCGGGCATGGTATCGGAGAACTCTTCCATTGTGCACCAAACATACCCCATTATGCCAGTATCCTAAAATTAGCGTTCTAGTGTTTAGTATAGTGGCATCAAGGAAGGAATGGAATGATTCATTCCATCGGAATGAAAGAATCTGTTTGTTACCATTCTAGAAGGCATGC